TCAATGTTGCCTATAGGCAATATCGGGCATGACAGGGTTAATTTGCTTGCAATTGAATTGCATGTTTGCCAACATTGCATGTGCGCAGCGTTTTTCCACTTGGTGAGTCGGTAATTGAGCAGAGTAATGAGCAAGTGCACGCATCACAAAAGCGATGAGCTGCCAAATGAGTTGTGCATACGTTGCCCCGCTGCTCCTACACCTTATCTGATCCCCAACTGTCATGGATTGGCGATCAGAGTGATGCGTGCTGTAAGTAGTCGCTGACATATGGTACAGCAGCAGATCGTGCACATCATTAACGGCATTTCTTAGCAACGCTTGCATATAAGTAAACTAAGCCAATGCTGTGGAAGCAAAAATTGCATCCACTAAGTTGATGATTTGAGTTAGTTGATACGCATAAAGTTGAGTAGTCGCCACCAACACTGATTAGCTTTGATAGTTGCTTTGATGGAATCACGTCACTAACATTTTTTATGTTAAATACGTATATGATTTGCCTGCAGTATGTGGGATATGTAATACATATACGTAGCGACCACCTGACACTCACGTGCCACAACTGCTGCAAACCATACAGTATCGCGAAAAAAGTCAAGTGAATGGGGGAAAGTGCAATAAATCTGCGGAAACTTCACACAAGTGACTAAGCAGGCCAAACACTTTTTGAGCCATCGATAGATCGATCGATCGACAGTGATCGCTCATTTATTTGTTTTTTCATTATTACATTTTCCTCGTTACTGCTAGGCACATATCACCCACAGCATCCATATATCAATTTCGCTGATCTCGTTGAAGGATCACTGATCATTACACTTCGAAAATGGCGCACATTTTGTGCATACTGATGCGAAAGTAAAAGCAAATACGGGTACATAAAAATAAGGCAATAACTGGTATCGCATATAAAATGTAACAAACGTGTACCCGCCAGTCAACGTAGATAGAGGCTAAGCTAGCATATTAACTAAAATTGAAAAATCTAAATTTGAAAATTTGAAAATGGCATATTGTCACGTTTCAGCCATATACTTACCGGTAAACAGCATGACCACTTTTTGACCGCTGGGTCCGCGCGAAACTAACCTATGCCTATGGTGCCTGGCGTTGCAAGTATTGATCTACCAAGCCAAGAAGCCACCAATATACAGCGGACAGAGCAAATTTATGTCAACATCATTTTTAGCTGAGCGCTCACGCTAATGGTGTGATGACACAATTGTCTATGTGGCTGCCAGAAAAAAGTAGTGAAACCAAAAAAGTTAC